AGAGGAAGTGCCCAACCCCTGGTCGGTAAAAATGGGGGCGCCCTGCGCATTGTTTGCATTTCCTCCGGGCCCATAATAGGAGGTCGACAGAGAGCGCCCAGAGTACATTTTGCTGTATCGACGACTGTGTTGGAATCCAGGAATGATGACCCATATTAGATCAGTGGTGCTCTGTGATGTGGTTGGTTATTGAGGTAGAGGCCACTTGATCACACTCGAGGAGTCCTTTCTCGGTTGCAGTCAGCGGTTGAGATTGTACCTGTATCGAAATTGAGGCATATTGAGTTGGATTAGAGGAGATTGCTTTGATGACGGTCGGACATTATGGCTGTGTGGTTGATATTGAGATTGATGGTTGTGACATGAGGAGGCTCATATTTGCTCCCATGTTAACAATCATGGCCACATTTGGCTGGGCCCAGACCGGAAGACAGTCGGACAATGGCGCCATATGTCTGATTGAGAAATTTTTGAGGATACTGGATCATTTTCATAACATCCTATGGTGAGACTATCCCGGCTGAGGGCACAGACGGGAAGGAAGTGGACAAAATTTGTTGATTTTATCTGTCATTCTTTTATGAGCTCTGGATCCGGGAGAGAGGTAAAAACAAAAAAAATGAGCTACAGACACCTTTATTCTTTTGAGAGAGGAGTTGCGGCTATTCATTTTGTTTCCATGGTGTTGGGATTTTGTTGACTCAGTACAGTGGTGCATGATCTGTATATCATTGTCTTCAGATCTGAGTGGAGTTGAGTTTTATTCAGTCCTTGAGATGGGAGGCTTGGTGCTGGTAAGACTGATAGTGGTATGGGACACCGGATGTTGAGGCCAGACCGATGCTTTACTGATTGATGATTGGGCTGAGATAGATAGAGGACTATGATCGATTCGTGCAGTGAGGAGTCAAGAAATCTTTTATTGGGGTACCTTGTCATGGTGGATTTAGAGATGGAATGACTAAGGTACACTGCAGTTTCAAAGAGGGAAAAATACTTTGGAGAGATTCATCTGAGGGATTAAGACAGAGAGGATTATCAGTATATGTATATCGATCCCTAGATGGACAGCTGACTCATATGTTGTCTATTTCTATATCAGACTTGTCAGGTAGTGGATAGTCGGATACTCCTGGTCGACCAGAGACACTTAGTGTACAGGTAGATAGCACTCGTGCTGACCTGTTGTATTCGGACACAGGTCGTAGCATTATTTCATCTTTTCTGCTTTCAAGATGAACACGAGTGTACATCCGACATAGTGATGGGAGAGACCTGACTTGGAGATTTTGAGATGAGCAGCTGTTGCAGTGGTACTGAAGAGGTCCCAATAACAAGAAGGTCAGTTGATTTTCTTGTACACTGGAACATATCCCGAAATTCCACAGAGGGACTAGACAGATGGTCATTGGAGTATACCTGAGGTGACACTAGCTTCACAGTTAGGTCTACCATTGGGTAGCCGATCGAGGACATTGATTGTGGACTTGTTTTCGAGGGCGAAAACTCCCCCCAGGGGGAAGTATTGTTGTGGAAACACATGGGGGTCGAGAGATTTATGGCCATTAGTCTTGGTTGGTCAGTCATCTGTGGGATTGGACCCATTATTTGGATTCCTTATGATCTCTAGATACTCGTAGGCTCTTTACTTGTCTAAATCCCCCAGTTGTGGAGTACTTTGTGGCTTAGGGAAGTACCTATACTTAAGGGACAGGCCGAGGGGGTAGACTGGGCTGCGGTGTATCGATAGTGGGTCCGATACGGGGGTATGCCGGGCGATACAGTCGTGACGCACTGATGTACATTGTGTGGTGTCTGTGTGATGGGTGGCCGGGCCGGAATGTGGCCGACCACCAGTACGTACGCGGGGGTGCGTTGCTCCCCGCTCTGTTACCCGTTTGGCTCACTGCCGCGCTCCGCACGGGCCTCACGGCCCGGGGAGCAAGCTGCCTCGCAACCCGCCATCTTCGAACGGCAGGACCGTCCGATCCCAGAGCGCAAGAGGGCCCACCGCGCAAAGAACGAGCGAGCACCCCGATTACGCCCGCCGGGTTCGGCGGAGGGGGCCATCGGCCCAACCGGGTGCAGGCGGATGAAGTGGGGGCACGCGCGACAAAAAGGGACCAGCGGAGGCCATTAAAAGAGCCCCGCAACACGGGTGATCTGAGTCGCCATTCCGGGGCCATACCACCGTTGGATCCTCACCAATTGTGCGGTGGTCAATCTCATCCCAAACCTTTTTGAGCCCATTTTCCAGCCCTCATCCAGGTCGCTTAGCCATTAACTGTGAAACCTTGTCCACACGGCTCAACATTTCTGCTGCCTGCTGTAAGGATTGGCAGCGTCTAGTTCAAATTCCAGTACCCGCTCTTCCACATTTGGTCCCCACTCCGGCAGAGCCGGTCTCCTCGGGCTCCAATCCGAGCCTCTCGGCCTGCTCGGACTATGCCCACATACTGCACGGGCGCTCTCAGTGAGCGACTCCTCACTGGTCCGATCACCATCGCTCGGGGTTTTTATGCATATTTGCGACTTCACCCGTTTGCAGCGAACACTACCCGATGGCCCTGGCACGTGGGCCGCGGGGCTTGGATCATTAGCCGAAGGGCCTGCGAGGTCAGCCCGTAGGCCTGTAACTCTGGCCCTCTCGGCCTGCTGTCTTCAGGCCTCACCTGCTGTTGGGCTCTTGCACTTCGCGCTCATCCGCCTGACGGTCTTCCAGTCCTCAGCCCCTTGAGCTTCTAGAATCGTCGGCATCTTCGCCGCCATCGGACTTGGTACCCTCTCGGGTTGCTTGGGCTGCTCCATGATCCGCTCCTCGGCCTCATGTGCACACTCCTTCTGCTTCTGTAGCCGGTCGCTGAGACTGGCTACCTGCTCCTCCGCCGAGGCCCGGGCGACATCGGCCTCTCGGCTTTTGTCCTTTGCCTTTTTCAAGGCAATTTCATATCACCTTGCTTCCTTTTGCGCGGAGGCTGCTGCGATCTCCAACTGTGCGATCCGGGGTGCTGCTTCCCAATCGCGTGCCTCCTGGGCCTTGACCGCAGCGGATGCGGCCATCTTCTCCAGGAGGGCCATGACTCTTGGGTCTTGTAGTAGGGCGGCCATCTTCTCGGTTGCCGCCCCCTCTTGGCTCTCTTTGGCCTCGGCTTCCGCCATGGGCTGGTCTTCACCTTCCTCCAACGCTTGGCATGCCGACGGCCTAGGTCGGTCCTCTCGAACTGGCTCAACCTCCATCCTACCCGCATGGGCTGTGTCTTCCTGCCGACCGACCCCAGATATCGGTCTCCCCTCTCGGGGTGTTGGGGTGCCCTCTCGGGCTGACGAGTCTGATTCCTTGGCCTCCATTATGGAGGAGGCCGGGGAGGGCCAAGCTTGCTTTTGGCCTAGGCTTTTGGGCCGACGTGGTGGGCTACCCACAGGTGGCTCCGAAACCAATGCTACGTGAAGATTGTGGGTGTGGGGCTCCTGCCCTCTTTGAGCTACGGACCCGCCTCGCCGGGCACCTAGGTCCTTACAGGGACCTAGGCGGGACCACCCCGACCTATTCCCATATCGTATAATATCGCTAAGCTGGTTGGGGTATGTCACCATACCTTGGGCAGGGCGTCCCCCACACCAAGGGGCCATTAGTAGGGCATCCCCCACATCAGACCAGTGTGCGTAACAGCCAAGTTCGCAGAAACGGACAGCCACCGCGCTATCCATCCACCGGACACCTCTCTTGGGTGTGTTGGGTAGTCCGCAATAGTGGCTTGAGGCCCCACTGTGCAGTGAAGCTGTATAGAGTACTACAGAAATGGTGACAAGCCCAAAAAGGGGGCGCTATTGGGGGCCGGGGGCGCTATTAGGGGGCCGCTATATAGGGACCCCGACTGTACTAGACAATCTCCATCCACCCACATCCTGTGGGATCTGCGCGGACGGGACTGGCCCCAGGTGTCGACGGTCCCACACCCCCTGGCGAAGCGACCCCAGGTCTCGCCACCCGAAGGCGGGAGCGGAACAAGCGAGCGATCGGGAGGATCGGACGCAGCTGCGCAGAGCCCGGCCTGTCGAGTCGACCCGGTGGTGGCGGCAGATAAGATCCGACAGTGCAGAGCGGTCAGCAGTCCCCAACCCGACGGAGCAGGGACCCCAGGCCTCGGCACCAGAAGACGGGAGTGGAAAGAGCGAGCGGGGGGATCGGGCGCGGCTGCGCACAGACCGTGCGTCACGTCCACCGGTGCTTGCGGCTGATGTGATCCGACAGCGTGGAGTGGTGAGTGCCTGTGTCCCTGCCACGGGTGCTTGCTGCAGTCTGTACTGGCTCTGATCGGATCGGCGCGTGCGCCTCAGCGTCCAGACAGGGGGAAAGTCAGCACCAGTCTCAAGCTGACGTTGTGCATTCTTTGTTGGCGCGACACCCGCGTACCGGGTGCCGCCGAGCGCATCTGGACATGGTGGCACCGAGAGTCAAACAACGCTTCCGTGGATAGAAAACCAGCAAACCATTTCTTTCAGAGGTTTTGTTATAGCTCCTTGGTCTTTTGCTTCACAATTTGATATCTTGCCCTTGTCGTCCCAAAGACCCCTGCTCACGAGATTGTCACACTTTTTCACTCGCTTTATCTCCACGGCTTCTTCATGGAGGTTTAATATACCCTCTCAGCCGAGTCAGCGTTGTGTCGCCCTTCGCTCGCCAGGTTTATGCAGGTCTGTGTTGAATCCTTTAGCGGGTTCGTGGACATCGAGAAATGGTCCACAATTCGCTTGCAGTGTGTTTGACATTGTTGGCTGTGGATACGCACAAGAGCTGAAAGCGGCGTCGTGTGTTGACCCGACCCAGCCAAATTTGTTTTGAAGGTTTGTTCAAGACAGCAAAGAGGCTGCCAATCGTGCAATGCAACCGTGGGACTTGACAAACTGATGCTGTGGTTGGTCCTGTAGATTGCCTACTTTTGGAAGCAACTGTGCCAAACGCCTCCCTCACTTCACAGCTCTTTTCCAGCGGAGGAGGGATGGCCGCACATGAGGGAAGCCAGGCCAGCGAACCTGAGGAGGTCAGGCCTGCAGAGCTGTGCAGGCTGACGGCTGCCACCACAGGCCGTGTGCTGATGCGGAAGAAAACGGAAGGGAGGCCGGGAAACTGGGAGTCTGTTGATCTGTTGGTTCGAGTCGACTTGTGGTGGATCGCTGCACGACCACACAAGGCGTGCCCTAAAAATGTGACAGCATGGCAGAAGGGGGATCGCATCAGCTTGCTCAGGGGTGAGACCCAGGTGGCACACATCGAAGGCGAAGATGAGTGGTCTGTGGCCAATGGGGATGATAGGCAGGAGTTCAAAGCTGTATCGACAGCTGAGGCAGCCCGATGGGTGGCTGCCTTGCTTCGTAGAGTGTGTTCATGGAGTGAACTGCTACAAGACAGAGAAGCCGTGGAGCAGGGGCTGCCAGATGACAGCTGCCAATGCGATGAAGTGCCTGGCCCCATCCCTCTGGTTCAATTGGAAGCCACTCAGGAGATGGTGAAGGCACTGGGAGTGGCTGCAACCTTCACAAAAGAGGTGCTGGGGGCGATGCCCATCGCTGGGCCGGTTCTGTCTCTGCTGGGATTTGCATTGGAGGTGGTTCATCGGGATGTGGCCGATTTTGAGGGGCTTCGCCCAGCAAAGTCAGCACTTGAGGAAGTGGCAAAGCTGACGATTCAGACTCTGCACAGGGCACTGAAGATGAGAGATGAAGAATATGAACAGGAGCTTTTGAATGTACTGCAGATGATCGAAAGCACTGCGCGAATGCTCGAGAGTCATGAACACAGGTCTGCATGGAGGAGGACCAAGCAGGCAGTATTGAAATCGGGCAGAGGGCCATCGGCTGTTCTGGAGCTGCTGAAGCAGTGTCAAGAACGCCTCAATACCCTCAAGATCCACCAACTGGAGAAGCTTCAGATTTTAGGTGATCAGTGCCCTGGAGTGCTTTTCACTGTCTGTCTGACTGGAATATTCAAAGGCTTGTGTGGCTGAGAGTGGGACGTGTCGAGATCACAAAGAGGCATTTGTGCAATATTAGACAACAAAACTCCTTTTTGAACTCAGCCGGGGCTGTTTTGACCGCCAGCAGTGCAAGACATGTATTGTTGGGCAGCGCTTCATCCTGTCAGATGTGATGTGCCCCGATGCATTTCTGCTTGTTTAATTGCAACCAACAGAGACACCCAAAATAGGACAGCTGATGTTGGAACAAGGTTATAATTCATGTTGGTGATGTCTCCACGGTTGTCCACTTCTGGTTGATTGTATTGCTTGCAATCCTTTTTTCTTTTTCCCTTGTTGATGCAGCACATTCTTTGCATGGTGAACCCAGGACAACAAGTATGAGGTTTTTAATGCTGCCCATCGTTGCAGTCAAGGGACTCTGAAAATATCACACAGAAGTTGTCAAACATGTTGCCACTTGTCACAAGCTGTGTACGCCCCCAAGACTATATTCAGCTGAGTGATAACTGTTGATAATGAGCCAGGGCAGTGCTGGGCTGTTCTTCTCCCATCTATTGATCTGTTGAACCATCAGCAACAGTAGGTCCCCCAGTGCATCGCTCAATGTCTTCTGAGCCACTTGACAGTATTGAACGATGCAGTGCATCTCCTGTATCAGCATTCAAGGCAGCCATGAAGTATATGCTTGGAAATAGGTGTCCTGAGGAAGCACATTGCACCACGGTGATCACTGTCACTGTGGCCAGAGGGAGATGTGTTCCACTGCCTGAGTTCCTATACTGCCACAAACCAGCCAAGGCACCCTGATTAGAGATTTTGCCTTGAAGCTTGCCCTAAGCCTGACTTTTTAGCTTTCCATGACTGCCATATTTAGGGTGGGAATAGTGCCCAGGCTCTTCCTCAGCTTGTGCCTCGTTGATGCAGAGCATTCATTCATATTGCAAATTCCTGTTGTGCATGTGTGTTGAAGTTGTGAACAATTGGTGGCAACACCCATAACTGTGCTCATGCGCCTTCAAATGTGTTCTAGATGAAATGTGCCATCTGTTGCGGGCAACTTAGGTGCCCAGTACATGTTCCTCTGTACTGTTGTTGGTTGTGTGCTTGATTCTCATGCTAAGCCAAGGCAGGTCTGGATTGCTACATTCCATGATTGGGGTCCTATTTAGTATATGCTATGCATCAGTTGGCATCAATTCCTTTAGCCCAATGCATGTGCGAGAGATTTGTGCTTATGCACATCAATGTTTTGTCTTACAAGTGAGGAAATCAGCTTTTAAGTCCCAAGGCTTGGACCATGGAATGTGTCTCTTGAAGTACAACGCATTCCTATTTTACCAATCGCCATGCCTTGGATTGTAGGGCTCAAAAGACAGGAGGACATGTGTGAGAACTTGGAGGACATGCATGAGAACTGGGAGGGCATGCATGAGAATTGGGAGGACATGCATGAGAACTTGGAGGACATGCACAAGAACTTGGAGGCAGTAAACAAGAAGCAAGAGGTTCTTCTGGCAAACCAAAAGAAGATTATGGCTCAGAGCAGTCTTGCCCGAAGGAACTGCTGCTCCCCTTCACACATTCCACCTGCACTAGACACGGTAGCTCTAGACAACCAGTTGTGTGTAGTCAGGAACATGTTGTTGCAGAGCACAACAACTTACGTGGTCATTTGGGGCATGGGGGGCATTGGGAAGACCACATTGGCAAGGGCGCTCGTCAATGACTCTGTGGTTCGCAAGGAGTTCGAAAAATGTAGTTTTGTGACAATATCACAGAACCCCAACATCACTCATTGTCAGAAACAGATATGGGATGCCCTTGTAGCCACAAAAGATGGTGTGCAGTTTACCACTCCTGAAGAGGGCAGGTTGCGACTGCAGGCAGCATTGAAAGACGAGGGTATGTTCATTGTTCTGGACGATGTGTGGGATGCCACTCATGTTGAACAACTTGATGTTGTGTCTTCAAAGAGCCGAGTCCTCATCACTTCGCGAAATGAGAAAGTTGCAACATGTGTGAGAGCGAGGCGCTATGCTGTTGTGGCACTTGATGAGTCTGAGTCGATGGAGCTCTTTTGCAAGGAAGCCTTTGTAAGTGGACAGCCCTTGAAGTGGCAGATGGCATATGTCAAGGAGATTGTGCAGGAGTGTGGTGGTCTCCCTCTTGCATTGAAGGTCATGGGAGCAGAAGCCAGAGGCTATGGCCCAGGAGAAGAAGGGGGATCGGCGCCCAAGCCCTCACAAAAGAGAAAGTGGCGAAGCGCAGTTGAGGGCATAAAGTCAGATGGAGTGGTGTCGAGTGGCGTGTTTGACAGAGTTTTCAAGATGAGCTTCGATTCCCTGAAAGCTCAGCATCGAGCTGCCTTGCTTGATTTGGCAATGTTACCTGAAGACCACGAAGCAAGGGAGTCTGATTTGGTGGATATGCAGTATTGCAATGGCTTGAGTACTAATGAAGCATACAAGGTGCTGGAAGATTTGGCTGCAAAATCCTTGATCATTCGCACTGGAAAGTACGAATTGGATGTATATGAGTTTCAGTCCACTGGTTTTGTGACCTGCCGCTTGCACGATGTGGTGCGCGACAGTGCGTTGAGAATGATTGCTGAGTTGCCCATTGCAGAACGCCCCCGCTTGGTGTCATCCCACCTGAAGGAGTTGGCTTTTAAAGGTGTGAGATTGTCTACAGCAAAAATCTCCACAACGCACAGCATTGGGCAAGACAAAAAACTGGATTTGCAGCAGTTGGATGTGCCTGAATTGCAGTCCCTTGTGCTGAGAAATGCAGAGATGTTGGAGTTGCCTGCATCCCTATTGACAATGAACCTGGTAGTCATCGATTTGACATCTTCGGGAATGGTCAGCCTGCTTGCCCAGGTGACATGCCTTCAATATGCAAAGGTACTGCGTTTGGATTATTGTGACAAGTTGGTGTGTCTGCCAAGTGAAATGGGCAATATGCAACAGCTCTCAGTGCTGTCTATGCGGGGATGCCGTGGCATCTTTGAATTGCCAAGTTCAGTAGGCAGACTGTCAAATTTGACAAAGCTGCTCATGCCCAGCTGTGGAATTGCACACTTTCTGGCAATTGAAGAGGGCTGTTTGCAGAGTTTGACCATGCTGGACCTGAGCAGGTGTTTTGGCCTAAAGTGCTTGCCTCCAAGTTTGGGAGAATTGGGCAGTTTGGTGGCGCTGGACTTGGGTGGGTGCTGGCAACTGACCTCCCTGCCATCTACCATAGGGCAGTTGGCAAACTTAGAGGTTCTGCTTTTGCATGGATGCGAAAGTCTTGAGGAATTGCCAAGTGCAGTAACCTCCCTTGGGCACTTGGCAGAGTTGGATGTCCAGGGATGCACCAAGCTGACATGTCTCCCTGAAGGTCTTGCTGATGGTTGCCAAGAGCTGGGAATATTGCGCCTTCAGCTCAATTCAGCAATGGCCTTCCCAGAGTTTGTGGTGGATTTTGAGCAGCTGCTGGTGTTGGGATTGCATAAGGACTGGACACTGCCAAGCACTGTGAGTGAGACACTGCAGGACGAGCAGGTGTCCTTGGAGCAGGAGCCAACAGAGGAGTACAGGTCCACAGAATATGTGGTGAGTGCCACCAAGCTGTTTGTGCCACTGGAACCGATGTTTTACTGTGCCTGAATCTGAATGTCTATGGTTTGTTTATCAGTGTCACAATTCATGCTTGTTTTTTATCACAGTCAGTAATGGGCATTGAGGTACAGCTTTCTTGAGGTACAAAACAGGGGCATCATATATACGCAATATCATCATCCATCCCATGTAGTGGATCAGCTAATGACAGTTTGGTTGTGCAGGACAGAGACACCCCACTTCACTGGGCAGCTGATCTGGGTCTGACAGAAATGCTGACGTTTCATCTGAGAGAGACCAGTGTGGACAATAGGAGCCGGGTAAGTGTGCTGGGAAGAACCTTGGTCATAGCAGTGAAATCTATGGTGTGTCATTTTTGGTGATGCGGCTCTCAAGTTGGATTGCATTGAATTTTGGTTGCACTGACTGGTGTAAAGCATGGATCAACAGTCAGTGCTGACTTTATGCTGTGTTTGTGGCTCCGTTTGTCTGAGCGAGAACGGAGCGCTTAGCTCAGTTGTTTGATCAGATCGCAACTTCTGGGTCCAAATGCCAATTTGCAAGTGAGACACATGTTGCCACCATTAATTAGTGTTCACCCCACAACACAAAAAACAGTTCCATGAAAATGAACAAACCCTACGAAAACCTGTGCGAAAGGGCCGATACAGATTGGATGATGTGCAGAAGATCTGGCCGTGCCACAAGCAACTGCCTGCCCATACACAAATTCACAATTGTTATAGTGTTGTACAAGCTTCTTGTTTTGGCTCTCAGACCTGGGCATCGTTTGAAGCAGCACTTCCCAATGACAAAAGGCACAGATCGAATTTGATCTCAGAAAGATATGGAGTGTTGGGTGAGCTGGCAAGATGCGACTAGGTATCCTATTTGCTGAACGATTCCAGATCCTGGTCCAAGTCAAGATGGCGATCTGTGTCCAGCACACATTTTGGGGGCCATCTGGAATCCAGTTGCAGGGAAGTTGAGGAGTTGGAAGTGCTGTTTTTCACTGGTACCAAAGCAGATCCTGCCCCAGTGACCAATACACTGCACATTGGTGGATACCAATTGCAACAGGGATAGTGCATCAATGCCAGGCACAAGGTGTATGAGCAGGGTGGGGGGGAAAATTGGCTTTGATTATGTTTTGGTCTGCTAAGAATGATCGATGGAAAAATGCTCTGCAGTAATGTAGCCTAGTTATCACTGCTTTAGCAAAAAGCTTTGGGCGGAAGAAACGCATGCATCATGCTTAAATTCTTCTGTGAAATGTTACTTGTTTAGTCTGCAAAGGGTCAATACTATACTACCTCTCTTCCAAAAGTAATTTCGCATCTAGAACTCTTCTTATCACTTTGCAAGGTCAACTGAATCAATCAATCCAACAGAAGATTGGGAATTCCTTGTCGATTTCGGGTTAATGTGGGTCTTGAATTTCCCACAGGTTTGTGCTCACGTTGTCGCCACATGTGCCAGCCTATTGCCCTGATATTATGCAAGAACCTTGTTGTAGGCTATAAATAGGCACTACTATAACTTTTCAAGAGTTTTGGCATCAATTAAATCATATTATTTGTGGATCATCTCTTCTGCTATGCTTAATCATGTCTTTGAAATTCTCAATTTCAATGACTGGCCATACTGGTACCAATCTTGGAGATAGCGTCAGCATGCACAGCCTTCCTAAGCTTGGTGTGTCAGCTAGGACAAGCTCTTGCCCAGAACTAGGTGTCTCTTGGCCTCTGGCCACAACATACCTACAATTATTGTTAACAACCAAAAGTCTGCAGCAACCCAACCCTCCATCCACTCTGGACTGAAAATGTGCATTTGGCTTTCAGTTTGGCCGGACGCCCCTGCATCTGGCATCAGTGAATGGACACACGGCCACTGCACAGATGCTCCTGGACAGAGGCGCATCTGTCGCTGCGGCTAACCAGGTGGGTCACTCCACGGCACTGTTTCTTCTTGCAGCCTTGCCCCTGGAGTGAGTTCAAAAACAACTGCGGCCAGCAGTAATGCATCAAGAAGCACAACTGCCTGATTGCTTTGCAACAGCCTGTGCCCAGCTACTGCATGGTGTGCTACAGGTTGTGTTGCTGACAGCGACCCGTACGTGTGGTGGACTGTTGAAGCTGTATGTTGCATACCCCCATCCTGCTGACCGTACTCAATGTTTGGTCGCAACCAGCCAGAGTGTTTGAGGCCCATTTCTTGACTGCTGAAAATGTACTTCTGGCTTTCAGGATGGCCAGACGCCCCTGCATCTGGCGTCAGTGAATGGACAGACGGCCACTGCACAGATGCTCCTGGACAGAGGCGCATCTGTCACTGCGGCTGACCGGGTGGGTCACTCCACGGCACTGTTTCTTCCTGCAGCCTTGCCCCTGGAGTGAGTTCAAAACAACTGCGGCCAGCAGTAATGCATCAAGAAGCACAACTGCCTGATTGCTTTGCAACAGCATGTGCCCAGCTACTGCATGGTGTGCTACAGGTTGTGTTGCTGACAGCGACCCGTACGTGTGTTGGACTGTTGAAGCTGTATGTTGCATACCCCCATGCTTCTGACCGTACTCAGTGTTTGGTCGCAACCAGCCAGAGTGTTTGAGGTCCATTTCTTGACTGCCTGAAAATGTGCATTTGGCTTTCAGTTTGGCCGGACGCCACTGCATGAGGCGTCAGCGAATGGACGCACGGCCACTGCACAGATGCTCCTGGACAGAGGCGCATCTGTCGCTGCGGCTGACCAGGTGGGTCACTCCACGGCACTGTTTCGTCTTGCAGCCTTGCCTCTGGAGTGAGTTCAAAAACAACTGCGGCCAGCAGTGATGCATCAAGAAGCACAACTGCCTGATTGCTTTGCAACAGCCTGTGCCCAGCTACTGCATGGTGTGCTACAGGTTGTGTTGCTGACAGCGACCCGTACGTGTGTTGGACTATTGAAGCTGTATGTTGCATTCCCCCATCCTGCTGACCGTACTCAATGTTTGGTCGCAACCAGCCAGAGTGTTTGAGGTCCATTTCTTGACTTCCTGAAAATGTGCATTCTGGCTTTCAGTTTGGCCAGACGCCCCTGCATCTGGCGTCATGGTATGTACGCACGGCCACTGCACAGATGCTCCTGGACAGAGGCGCATCTGTCGCTGCGGCTGACCAGGTGGGTCACTCCACGGCACTGTTTCGTCTTGCAGCCTTGCCCCTGGAGTGAGTTCAAAAACAACTGCGGCCAGCAGTAATGCATCAAGAAGCACAACTGCCTGATTGCTTTGCAACAGCATGTGCCCAGCTACTGCATGGTGTGCTACAGGTTGTGTTGCTGACAGCGACCCGTATGTGTGGTGGACTGTTGAAGCTGTATGTTGCATACCCCCATCCTGCTGACCATACTCAATGTTTGGTCGCAACCAGCCAGAGTGTTTGAGGTCCATTTCTTGTCTGCCTGAAAATGTGCATTTGGCTTTCAGGATGGCCGGACGCCCCTGCATCAGGCGTCAGTGAAAAGACGCCCGGCCACTGCACTGATGCTCCTGGACAGAGGCGCATCTGTCGCTGTGGCTGACCAGGTAGGTCACTCCACGGCACTGTTTCTTCCTGCAGCCTTGCCCCTGGAGTGAGTTCAAAACAACTGCGGCCAGCAGTAATGCATCAAGAAGCACAACTGCCTGATTGCTTTGCAACAGCCTGTGCCCAGCTACTGCATGGTGTGCTACAGGTTGTGTTGCTGACAGCGACCCGTACGTGTGTTGGACTGTTGAAGCTGGATGTTGCATTCCCCCATCCTGCTGACCGTACTCAATGTTTGGTCGCAACCAGCCAGAGTGTTTGAGGTCCATTTCTTGACTGCTGAAAATGTACTTCTGGCTTTCAGGATGGCCGGACGCCCCTGCATCTGGCATCAGCGAATGGAAGCAGGGCCACTGCACGGATGCTCCTGGACAGAGGCGCATCTGTCGCTGCGGCTGACCAGGTGGGTCACTCCACAGCACTGTTTCTTCTTGCAGCCTTGCCCCTGGAGTGAGTTCAAAAACAACTGCGGCCAGCAGTAATGCATCAAGAAGCACAACTGCCTGATTGCTTTGCAACAGCATGTGCCCAGCTACTGCATGGTGTGCTACAGGTTGTGTTGCTGACAGCGACCCGTACATGTGTTGGACTGTTGAAGCTGTATGTTGCATTCCCCCATCCTGCTGACCGTACTCAATGTTTGGTCGCAACCAGCCAGAGTGTTTGAGGTCCATTTCTTGATTGCCTGAAAATGTGCATTTGGCTTTCAGATTGGCCGGACGCCCCTGCACGGGGCATCATGTTATGGACACACGGCCACTGCACAGATGCTCCTGGACAGAGGCGCATCTGTCGCTGCGGCTAACCAGGTGGGTTACTCCACGGCACTGTTTCTTCTTGCAGCCTTGCCCCTGGAGTGAGTTCAAAAACAACTGCGGCCAGCAGTAATGCATCAAGAAGCACGACTGCCTGATTGCTTTGCAACAGCCTGTGCCCAGCTACTGCATGGTGTGCTACAGGTTGTGTTGCTGACAGCGACCCGTACGTGTGTTGGACTGTTGAAGCTGTATGTTGCATACCCCCATGCTTCTGACCGTACTCAATGTTTGGTCGCAACCAGCCAGAGTGTTTGAGGTCCATTTCTTGACTGCTGAAAATGTACTTCTGGCTTTCAGGATGGCCAGACGCCCCTGCATCTGGCGTCAGTGAATGGACAGACGGCCACTGCACAGATGCTCCTGGACAGAGGCGCATCTGTCGCTGCGGCTGACCAGGTGGGTCACTCCACGGCACTGTTTCTTCTTGCAGCCTTGCCCCTGGAGTGAGTTCAAAAACAACTGCGGCCAGCAGTAATGCATCAAGAAGCACGACTGCCTGATCGCTTTGCAACAGCCTGTGCCCAGCTACTGCATGGTGTGCTACAGGTTGTGTTGCTGACAGCGACCCGTACGTGTGTTGGACTGTTGAAGCTGTATGTTGCATACCCCCATGCTTCTGACCGTACTCAATGTTTGGTCGCAACCAGCCAGAGTGTTTCAGGTCCTTTTCTTGACTGCTTGAAAATGTGCATGTGGCTTTCAGTATGGCTGTACGCCTCTGCATCTGGCGTCAGTGAATGGACACACGGCCACCGCACAGATGCTCCTGGACAGAGGCACATCTGTCTGCGGCTGACCAGGTGGGTCACTCCACGGCACTGTTTCTTCTTGCAGCCTTGCCCCTGGAGTGAGTTCAAAAACAACTGCGGCCAGTGGTAATGCATCAAGAAGCACGACTGCCTGATCGCTTTGCAACAGCCTGTGCCCAGCTACTG